ATCGTGTTCAGCAAGACATTTGACGAACACCTTTTGCGCTTGCACGCCGTGCTGCGAATTTGAAATTTAAGCCGCAAAAGTGCCACCTGCTACGGGAATCCGTACGCTATTTGGGGCACATCGGCAGCCGCTCGGGCATATCCACCGATCCCGCAAAGACGCAGTGTGTCAGCTCCTGGCCAGCCCCCACCCCGGTGGCTGAGGTCAGGAGTTTCATTGGATTTGCGTCTTATTACCGGCGGTTCGTTGCGGATTTCGCGACCATTGCTAAGCCCTTACACGCTCTGACGGCGAAGGGAGTGAAATTTCACTGGGGCCAGGAGGAGGAGGTCGCTTTTTGTTCCCTTCGCGACGCTCTCGTGCGGGCCCCTCCATTGAGCTACCCCGATTTTTCGGAACCCTTCCTGCTCGATACAGACGCCAGCAATACGGGCATTGGGGGTGTGCTCTCACAGGTGATCTGTGGTGTGGAACGCGTCGTGGCTTATGGCAGTAGGGTTTTGTCTCCGGCGGAACAGAGATACTGCGTCACGCGTCGGGAACTCTTGGCTATTGTATTTTTTATGCAACAGTATCGCCCATACCTGTACGGTCGGCATTTCACTGTCCGTACGGACCATGCGGCATTACAATATGCCTTGCGGGTGACGCAGCCTTCGGGGCAATTGTCCCGATGGCTCGAAATCCTTCAGGATTATGATTTCACGACCACATATCGGAAGGGTGCTCGGCACACTAATGCGGATGCGCTGTCTCGCCTGCCGCCCGCCTCAGATTGCGCTTGTCTCAGGGGATCGGGGCGTTGTAAGCCGCCAGAGGATAGCCCCCCCCTTAGATATCCCGGTTCTCGCTGCTGCCACTGAGGACCCCTTGCCTGAGGGTCCTGTCGGGGAGGGAGGTGCGGACTCCTTGCTGGGGTTGTCCGTTGCGGAATGGGGGCGCCTCCAGATGGAGGACGCATCCCTCCTCGCGTTGCGTCGTCGCGCAGGGGGTTCCGTGCGGGGGGTCGCGGGGATTGATTTGTACGGGCTGCTCCAGGGGCTCCTAATGCATTGGGATGGGAGGGCCTGCCGTCACAGGCTTGTGGTGCCATCCGCTTTGCGGGGTAAGGCCGTTTGGGCCGCACACGAGCGGCTTTTGCACCTGGGGACCCACAAGACCCTTGCCGTGCTCCAGCTGGATTTCTTCTGGCCGGGTATGGCAAGGGATGTGGATGACCTCCTGGGTGCATGCACTCAGTGCGCCCAACGAAAACCACCAGCGAAAGGCGCCTGCCCACCGCTACAATCTATCACGGTCTCTCGGGTTAACGGAACTCGTTGCACTCGATATATTGGGGCCCTTCCCTGCGACCCCTACGGGTAACAAGTACCTGCTGGTTGGCGTGGAATATTTCACCCGATGGCCTATGGCATGGCCTCTCGCTAACCAGTCAGCAGCAGCCGTTGCCGAGGCCTTTGTCCAGGGCTATGTCCTCGACAAGGGTGCTCCCGAACAGCTGCTGACTGACCAAGGGAAGAACTTCTCTGGCGTCCTTCTGCACGAGGTGTGTGCGCTTCTTGGTACGAAAAAGATTCGTACTTCCCCCTATCACCCACAAACCGATGGCATAGTGGAGCGGCTGCATAGGACGCTCACATCTATGTTGTGTCACCAGGTGTGCGACTCCCAGACCGATTGGGACCTTCACATTCCGGGGGTTTTGGCCGCCTATAGAATGGCTCCTCACGCGGCAACCGGCTTCTCGCCGTTCTTTTTGATGTACGGTCGCGACGTTGACCCACCAATTGCGACTCAGCTCCGCGTCTCGGAAACCAGCAGAAAATCGAAATTGGCCGACCACGTTAAATTTAATATCCTGAGGTTGACCGAGGCGGGGGAGGCAGCGGCCCAAAACTCTTCCTCTCGGCAGAAGGCCAACGAGAGGTTGCGATCGCGCCAATCACGCACACATGCGTGGAAGCCAGGCGATCAAGCCTGGCTGCACTGCCCTCAGGTGCCGTTGGCGACCTCGGCGAAATTGTTGCGGCCTTGGAGGGGCCCTGTGGTTATTGTGAAGGTTATGCGGCCGCAGTGCGTTCGTATCCAGTGGGGGAAACGCCGCTGGTACGTACACCCCTCGCGTCTGAAGCCGTTTGTGGCGCCGCGCGTCCCTCCACCACATTACACAGGCCGAGCATGTGATGTGTCCGCTGACTCCCGGACGGCGTCTTCGTCGCCTGCCCCTGATGCTTCGCTAACTGTTCCACCTTCAGGCGCCTCAAGAATGACGGCTTCCAGCGCACCTGCGCCACCCGGTGGGGACGGAGTTTGCCCTTCCGGGGTGACGGAAGACGGTGCACCTGCACAGCCGGTGCCCACTGCCGGGCCGACCGGACCCTCCCCCTACGATGGACCCGCAAAACGGACTCGCGCCAAAACGCGCCGCTTGTTGTAATAATGGTTCTTGTTACTCTTGTTGTTCACTGTTAAGTTTTCTTGCTGCGTTGATGGGGGGGGGGGGTACAATGTATATGTGTATATAGTGTAATTTTGTATAGGTGCGTTGGGTTATTTATTGGGGTGTTCGTTCTTATGAGGCACGCACGGATGGGGGTTTGTTGTGTTTATTGTTCGAGTATTGTTGCAGCCGGGACGGCTGCGGGTTACACGGGAGGGGGTGATGTAAGGGTGCTATGGGGAATAAACACATGGCACGGGAAGGTATGGTTCACCCACACCTTGGTGGCTACAACAACGTCCGCTAAGGCTCCAGTGGGCATAAAGTGCGGGGAGCCAGGGAGCTCGGGGCAGAGTGTGGGGCCCGAGGCTGAAGCAACCAGTGAAGAAAGAAGGCCAGCTAGGTGAGACCCTGGAACGCCTGTGACCGCTGCCCTTTTCAGGGCCGGCACAGCAAGCCAGTGGTGCGGCCCCAGAGCCCCAGAGTCAGAGTCCTTCTAAGGGCCGGTCTGGTCGGCGGGGTGCCGAGATCTGTGCCTAACCAGGGCCGGATCTGATAGCCTCCCTTAGAGCCCTACCAGGAGGAACTGGGAGCCTAGAGCTTAGGCTAGAGAGCCTGGGGTGTGTTCCTGAGTTATACGGGTGGAGGGGCCGCTACCCCTTCTAGTGTAACCCTTGTTAAGGTTTAAATAAATAATGCTGCTTCTATTCTGCCGTCTCCGTGTCCTGGAACCCACTACACTAGTACAGCACTAACCGGTTGCTGTGGGTTGGAGAGTTAAACCCACTACAACATTTACAATTCGTTACTAGTACAGCACTAACCGGTTGCTGTGGGTTGGAGAATTAAACCCACTACTACATTTACAATTCCTTACTAGTACAGCGCTAACCGGTTGCTGTGTGTTGGAGAGTTAAACCCACTACAACATTTACAATTCGTTACTAGTACAGCACTAACCGGTTGCTGTGTGTTGGAGAGTTAAACCCACTACAACATTTACAATTCGTTACTAGTACAGCACTAACCGGTTGCTGTGTGTTGGAGAGTTAAACCCACTACAACATTTACAATTCGTTACTAGTACAGCACTAACCGGTTGGTGTGTGTTGGAGAGTTAAACCCACTACAACATTTACAATTCGTTACTAGTACAGCACTAACCGGTTGCTGTGTGTTGGAGAGTTAAACCCACTACAACATTTACAATTCGTTACTAGTACAGCACTAACCGGTTGCTGTGTGTTGGAGAGTTAAACCCACTACAACATTCACAATTCGTTACTAGTACAGCACTAACCGGTTGGTGTGTGTTGGAGAGTTAAACCCACTACAACATTTACAATTCGTTACTAGTACAGCACTAACTGGTTGCTGTGTGTTGGAGAGTTAAACCCACTACTACATTTACAATTCCTTACTAGTACAGCGCTAACCGGTTGCTGTGTGTTGGAGAGTTAAACCCACTACAACATTTACAATTCGTTACTAGTACAGCACTAACCGGTTGGTGTGTGTTGGAGAGTTAAACCCACTACAACATTTACAATTCGTTACTAGTACAGCACTAACCGGTTGCTGTGTGTTGGAGAGTTAAACCCACTACTACATTCACAATTCGAGTACCGTGACGTTTCGCCAGTAATTACGACCGGCATCATCAGGCGACAGCCAGAGTTGTGGATAAATCCTGCTCCCGTTTCCTTCTTAAAAATCACCTTCCGTCTTATATTTACATACACAGCGCCGAATATCCGAGGCGCTCTGCACAGGGGACGGCGTTACGGGAGAGGGAAGTTTGGTGGGAGCGGCAATTGGAAGCTGGACGTGGCGACGGTGCTTCTCGCTTCCCGCGCGCGGGAGGGGGGCGGAGTTTGTTCGAGTGCAAGGGGGCGTGGCGGGGAGGAGGAGCTGAAAGGGGGCGACTGCTCGCAAGGAGAACGGGGGGGGGGCGGTGACGACGGTGAGGAGGAGCAGGAGGAGGAGGAGGGGGTGGAGCTGGAGGGGGGGCGGAGATGGAGAGGGGGGTGGAGCAGGGGGACGAGGGGGGCGGAGCTGGAGGGGGGGCGGAGCTGGAGGGGGGGGCGGAGCTGGAGGGGGGGGGCGGAGCAGGGGGACGAGGGGGGCGGAGCTGGAGAGGGGGGCGGAGCAGGGGGACGAGGGGGGCGGAGCTGGGGGACGAGGGGGGCGGGGCTGGGGGACGAGGGGGGCGGAGCTGGAGAGGGGGGCGGAGCAGGGGGACGAGGGGGGCGGAGCTGGAGAGGGGGCGGGGCTGGAGAGGGGGGCGGAGCGGAGAGGGGGGCGGGGCAGGGGGACGAGGGGGGTGGAGCTGGAGAGGGGGGCGGAGCAGGGGGAAGAGGGGGGCGGAGCTAGAGAGGGGGGCGGAGCAGGGGGACGAGGGGGGGCGGAGCAGGGGGACGAGGGGGGCGGAGCAGGGGGACGAGGGGGGCGGAGCAGGGGGACGAGGGGGGCGGAGCTGGGGGACGAGGTGGGCGGAGCTGGCGAGGGGGGGCGGAGCTGGCGCCAAGCGTGAAAGTTCCCCGCTCCCCTGCGGACGTACTGTGGTGGCCAACGAAGCCGTGGCTGGGTCCCAGCAAGGCCTGCTTGGACCACACGCCGCCGCCGCCGCCGCCGCCGCCGGCACCACCGGCACCACCGGCACCACCGGCACCACCGGCACCACCGCCACCGCCACCCACGGCCATTTTCCCTGCCGCCCCGCCACCACCTCCGCCCCCCGTTGGGGGGCTGCCGCGCTTGGCCGCCGGCGGCGGCGGCGGCGGCGGCGGCGCTTTGGCGGGCGACATCCTGCGCTTGCGCGAGCGGTCGGGGGCCGGATCGGGGGGCCCGTCGGCCCCCTCGATCACCACGGGACCCTTGGCGTGGTTGAACTGCAGCGGCTCGTTGTTACGGGCCGGGTCCATGGGGCCTGCGGGGTGGGGGGTGGGTTGGTGGGGGAGCAGGGGGGGGAGGGGGGAAGCAACGATGGTGACATCGATGACGACGATGACAATGACGATGACAATGACGATGATGACAATGACGACGATGACGATGATGACGATGACAGTGATAATGATCACGACAATGACGATGACGACAATGACGACAATGACGAAGATGACGATGACAGTGATAATGATCACGACAATGACGATGACGACAATGACGACAATGACGAAGATGACGATGACAGTGATAATGGTCACGACAATGGCGATGATCACCACAATGGCGATGATCACGACAATGGCGATGACAATGACGACGGCGACAATGACGACAGTGATAATGATTACGACAATGACGATGACAACAATGACGAAGATGACGATGACAACAATGACGAAGATGACGACGACAATGATAATGATCACGACAATCACAATGGCGATGACAATGACAATGACGACGACAATGACGACGACAATGACGACGACAATGACGACGACAAAGACGAGAAAAGGCCAAAGGTCGTAGTTCCAAACGCAGCGCAACCATCGGCCAAAGTCCGCCGTGTCCGCCCCCCTACGAGTAGACGCACGGTCCGGCGCGGCGACTCTTCAGGCGTCTCGTCGACGGCCCCCCCCCCCGCGGCCTTCGGCACGGCCTCCTGACGTACCGCCCCCCCCCCCCCCCCCCCAAGACAAGACACGCGGGGCGGCACCGGTGCAGGGCGGCAACGACGCACCGGTCCTCGGGCAACAAAAGCGCTCGAATCGAAACTTTAATCGGCTCGACGGAATCTTCCGAGGTCGCGACGCGACCCCAAGGGTTCATCCGTCCGAAGTATGCCGACGGCGACTGCTCGCAAGGAGGGCCGATGAGAGAGAGACGCAGACTCCAAATATACAGCGGCAGCAGCAGCAGGCAGTCATCAGGGTTGTGATCGAAACCACAACCTCCTGTGTACCAGGCAAGGTAGTTAACATCTCATAGCCACCGTGATGACGATGAGAGAGAAACACGCGACTCCAAATATACAGCAGCAGCAGCAGGCAATCATCAGGGTCGGAATCGAACCCACAACATCCTGTATACCACGCGAGGTAGTCAACATCTCCTAGCCACCGTGATGACGATGAGCGAGAGAGACACAAACTCCAAATATACAGCAGCAGCAGGCAGTCATCAGGGTTGTGATCGAAACCACGACCTCCTGTGTACCAGGCGAGGTAGTTAACATCTCCTAGCCACCGTGATGACGATGAGAGAGACACGCAGACTCCAAATATACAGCAGCAGCAGGCAATCATCAGGGTCGGAATCGAACCCAGAACATCCTGTATACCAGGCGAGGTAGTCAACATCTCCTAGCCACCGTGATGACGATGAGAGAGAGACACACAAACTCCAAATATACAGCAGCAGCAGCAGGCAGTCATCAGGGTTGTGATCGAACCCACGACCTCCTGTGTACCAGGCGAGGTAGTTAACATCTCCTATCCACCGTGATGACGATGAGAGAGACACGCAAACTCCAAATCTACAGCAGCAGCAGCAGGCAGTCATCAGGGTCGTGATCGAACCCACGACCTCCTGTGTACCTGGCGAGGTAGTTAACATCTCCTATCCACCGTGATGACGATGAGAGAGACACGCAAACTCCAAATATACAGCAGCAGCAGGCAGTCATCAAGGTTGTGACCGAAACCACGACCTCCTGCGTCCCACGCGAGGTAGTTAACATCTCCTAGCCACCGTGATGACAATGAGAGACACAAACTCCAAATATACAGCAGCAGCAGCAGGCAGTCGCCAGGGTCGGAATCGAACCCACGACCTCCTGCGTACCAGGCGAGGTAGTTAACATCTCCTAGCCACCGTGATGACGATGAGAGAGAGACACGCAAACTCCAAATCTACTGCAGCAGCAGCAGCAGGCAGTCATCAGGGTCGTGATCGAACCCACGACTTCCTGTGTACCAGGCGAGGTAGTTAACATCTCCTAGCCACCGTGATGACAATGAGAGACACAAACTCCAAATATACAGCAGCAGCAGCAGGCAGTCATCAGGGTCGTGATCGAACCCACGACCTCCTGTGTACCAGGCGAGGTAGTTAACATCTCCTAGCCACTGCGGTGACCCTGAGTACGTGCCACCCGCGGCGCTGAGCGGGGGACCCCACAACACCGCGGGGTTGATAATTGACGCCGCTCGCCTGCAAGTGGACAGTAAAGCTGTAAACTTTTATTTCACCAGTTGTAAGGCCCCCAGGGAGACCCACAGAGACGCACAGAGACCCATAGAGACCCATAGAGACCCAGAGACGCACAGAGACACATAGAGACCCGCAGAGACCCATAGAGACGCACAGAGACGCATATAGACCCACAGAGACCCATAGAGACCCAGAGACGCATAGAGACCCACAGAGACCCATAGAGACGCACAGAGACGCACAGAGACCCAGAGACTCATAGAGACCCACAGAGACCCACAGAGATCCATAGACTCATAGAGACCCACAGAGACTCATAGAGACCCACAGAGATCCACAGACTCATAGAGACCCACAGAGACTCACAGAGACTCACAGAGACCCACAGAGACCTATAGAAACCCTGAGAGACCCACACTCCACGCGAGCACGGAGAGAGACAGCAGCAGTGTTGGGATCAAACCCACAAACTCATGTATATCAGGTGAGGTAGTTAACATATTTTATCCACCGTGATGATGATGATGATGGGAGAGATATGCAGACTCCAAATATACAGCAGCAGCATTGGGATCGAACCCACGATCTCATGTATATCAGATTTTCTTGTAGTGGTTTTCACAACTGATGATGATTGGTTCTTGTGTTGCAGTCGAAACGTCGTGAGAATTTTATCGTTTTATATTTTTATTATTTTATTGTTTCCCTTCTACGTGGTGGTGACTTTACCGAAAGAACCAAGAATGTGAATCCCTGCAGTCACGAAAGCTTTAAATCAAAATTAAATAAAAAAAATCATGCATATCAGGTGAGGTAGTTAACATATTTTAGCCACTGCGATGATGATGATGATGGAAGAGAGACACGCAGACTCCAAATATACAGCAGCAGGGTTGGGATTGAACCCACGACCTCCTGTATACCTGGCGAGGTAGTCAACATCTCGGCGCTGAGCGGAGAGACCACACAACACTGCAGCGTTGATCATTGACGCCACTGACCTGCGAGTGGAGTGTAAAGCTACCAACTATAATCTTGGCTCTTCCGGTAAAGTCACCACGTAGAAGGGAAACAATAAAATAATAAAAATATAAAACAATAAAATTATCACGACGTTTCGACTGCAACACAAGCAATCATCAGTAGTATCATCAGTAGTAGTAGTATCATCAGTAGTAGTAGTATCATCATCAGTGGTAGCATCATCAGTGGTAGTATCATCAGTAGTAGTATCATCAGTAGTAGTATCATCAGTGGTAATATCATCAGTAGTAGTATCATCAGTAGTAGTATCATCAGTGGTAGTATGAACAGTAGTATCATCAGTGGTAGTATCATCAGTAGTAGTATCATCAGTGGTAGTATCATCAGTGGTGTATCATCAGTAGTAGTATCATCAGTAGTAGTATCATCAGTAGTAGTATCATCAGTAGTTGTATTATCAGTAGTTGTATCATCAGTGGTAGTATCATCAGTAGTAGTATCATCAGTAGTAGTATCATCAGTGGTAGTATCATCAGTAGTGGTATCATCAGTGGTAGTATCATCAGTAGTAGCATCATCAGTAGTTGCATCATCAGTAGTAGTATCATCAGTGGTAGTATCATCAGTGGTAGTATCATCAGTGGTAGTATCATCAGTGGTAGTATCATCAGTAGTAGTATCATCAGTGGTAGTATCATCAGTGGTAGTATCATCAGTAGTAGTATCATCAGTAGTAGTATCATCAGTGATAATATCATCAGTAGTAGTATCATCAGTAGTAGTATCATCAGTGGTAGTATGAACAGTAGTATCATCAGTGGTAGTATCATCAGTAGTAGTATCATCAGTGGTAGTATCATCAGTGGTAGTATCATCAGTAGTATCATCAGTGATAGTATCATCAGTAGTAGTATCATCAGTAGTTGTATTATCAGTAGTTGTATCATCAGTGGTAGTATCATCAGTAGTAGTATCATCAGTAGTAGTATCATCAGTGGTAGTATCATCAGTAGTGGTATCATCAGTGGTAGTATCATCAGTAGTAGCATCATCAGTAGTTGCATCATCAGTAGTAGTATCATCAGTGGTAGTATCATCAGTGGTAGTATCATCAGTGGTAGTATCATCAGTAGTAGTATCATCAGTGGTAGTATCATCAGTGGTAGTATCATCAGTAGTAGTATCATCAGTAGTAGTATCATCAGTGGTAGTATCATCAGTAGCAGTATCATCAGTAGTAGTATCAGCATCATCATCAGTGGTAGTATCATCAGTAGAAGCATCATCAGTTGTAGTATCAGCATCATCATCAGTGGTAGTATCATCAATAGTAGTAGTATCAGCATCATCATCAGTAGTAGTAGTATCATAAAAAACATAAAACAATACAATTATCACGACGTTTCGACTGCAACACAAGCAATCATCATCGCCTGGCGATGATGATTGCTTGTGTTGCAGTCACGAAAGCTTTAAATCAAAATCTACCAACTGTCATTTTTTATGACACCAGGTATAGGGCCCTTACCGACATGCCACGTGATTCTGGCAGTCACAAATCGCAGCTCAACCAATTGGCTTATCACCACCATCATCATCACCACCACCACCACCACGTGGACATTTACAGCAGCAGAACAAGTGCTCTCAACGCGTGACGTCGATTATAAATACGGAGGGGTGGGGGTGGGGGGAAATCGAAGGACTTTGAGAAAATAAATCCACGAGACCACTGGGAGAGAGAGACCCACAGAGACCCATAGAGACCCACAGAGACCCATA